AAATATAGAAGATGCAAAATACCTAGCCACATGTCTGGCACTGGTAGGTTGTCATTAAATGATAGCTATTGCTATACTTCTTATATTGTGGATGCATCATTTCATGTTGGTTTGTAATGTGAACTAAACCTCTCTGTACCTCATTTTTCTCATCTGTTAAATGGGTATGATTAAATAGTACCAATCTAATGTGGATGATTGTGAGTATGAAATAAGACACGCATGAAAATCACTTAAAACACATGAAAATTCCTTAAATGCACACAGTGATGTTGTTGAAGGTGATGATAACAATGTTACTCCTGTAACTGGCTGGCCAGTTCCATATGAATACATCCCAGGGCCTACTGAACTAGCTAGAATTGGATAATAGGGTATGAGTTATGATCCCAGCTCTGCCGTGATTTCCTCTGTAACCTTGAGTAACCATTCCACCTTTGTGAGACCTCCGTTTCTCTTATTCATTTGTTTATGTGTTCATTCCAAAGACTTCTGTGAAGGACCCTACTGAAGGCCGAGCCCTGGAAGGATAGATCAGGAAGCACCCACACAGCACTCACCTGCTGACGTAGAATGTGTGCATGTACCAGCTTTTCACACCAAGTATTTGCTACACATCTTGAGTGGAGGACCAAGAGTCCCAAATGGACTTTTTGAACGTTTCCTTGGTTCATATCAAAAGAAACCCTGGTAAATGGAGCAAAATGTTGAAAAGCAGGTGAATCTCAACAAAGGAAATATGGATGTTCTTTGCACTGGTCTTATTCTTTCAACTTTCCTATGAGTTTGAAATTATTTTTAAATAGAAAGTTAAAAAATTAAAAGAAACCAGTGTTCCACACCCTTCTATCAAAATGCAAATAAGTGATAACATTGTATAAGGTTGTACAATCTGTCACTCCACAACTAAGACCGCTGGATTTGTAGGGAGAAGATTTAGGTAGAAGTCTCAGCTCATTTACTAGCTTAGGATCTTGTGTGAATGACATCACCACTCTGACCCTCCATTTTCTTCATCTGTGAAATGAGATTATATATAATTTCTATGTATTATCTATGTAGTACACATATACATATATACATACATGTAAAATTGTTTTGTTATCCATAAAATGCTATGCAAATGTTAGTAGCTCCCCACCTTAGTTGAAGCTCTTATTCAATCTGTGTTTCTTGGAGTAGCTTACA